TACAGGTATTATAGTCTTTAAAATAGTTATTTTTGTATTTCCTATTGTCTTCATTAATATGTTTAATTTCATTATTGGAAAAATAAAAGCTATGGTAATAATCATCAAAAATAAAGAAAATCTTTGTTATTTCTGAATTATCATTCTTGTATTTCATCTTTCAGACAATATTCTCATACTAGGGCCATTGAGCCAAATGTCTGCTTGACTCTAATCACTGAAAGTTTTTGGATTTTTTATGAAGTCAAGCAGCAGTCACAGACAGCTGGGGAAACCCAGCATTAGTGGGAGCAGGAAACCTAATTGACAAAAAATGACTCAAGAAAGAAAAAGCCTCTTTGGGGTGGAAATATGCACTGGTCCAGGTCACTTTAGAAATACTAGTCCATTTTCAAACTTTACCTTTGCTAACTGGTGTGTGTGTGAGTGTGTGTGTTTATTCTTTTTTTCCTTTTTGAGGGGAAAAAGACAAAAGCAATAACTCACAGGAATGATGAAATAAGTAAATCGAACTCACAGACATATTATTTAAATAAAAATAAAAGAAGCAACTTAAGGTAAAAACTTCCTAAAAATAACTCAGGCTCGGTTTTATTTGTTGTCTCTAGTCCTCTTGAGCTCACAGAAGGCTGTTCTTCAGAATGGCATGTGCTTTTTAGTTAATGATGTGTGCAAATTAAAAATCATAGAGAATGGCAATAAAGGAGGTTATAGACCAAAGAAATGTGGCAGAATTCCTGCAGACCATGTCTCTTTAATCTTCCACATCAAACCCAAACAAATGGATACACCGAAACCAGAAAATAAAATAGTAATGTTAGAGACAGAGTGATTGAAGCAATGCAAACTGTTAGGTGCCTATGTGTGTTTATACTCAGAAAATCAGTAGGATGGGATTGACCCTGAGAACTAGCATGGCTCATTGGTTTGCAATCCAGGCTGTTGGATGGAATCCCTGGGAAGCTCAAGCTAGGACTTTCCCTTCCGGGGTTCTTATTCTACTGATATGTGGTACAACCTTCAAGTTATAAAGTTTCAACCAGGCATTGTGGTGCATGCCTGTTATATCAGCTACCCTAGAGGCAGAGGCAAGAGAATCAAGGCCAGCCTCAAAAAAAGTAGCAAGTACTATCTCAAAAACAAAAGGGCTGGAGGTATGGCTCAAGTGGTAGAGTGATTACCGGGCATGCACAACATCGTTCACCCTCTAGTAATGACATTTCAAAAGCTCTCAGGTGATTCTAACTTGCTATCTTAGAAAAGAACTACATCATTCGGCCAAGCCCTTCATTTTAAAAATGAGGAGACAATGGGTAGAGATGTTTGTGTATCTATGTGACAGACTGATTAGTGACAGAACCTTTACTAAATTTCAAATTCAACTCTCTTCCCACTAAACACTCTTCACACGACTAAGGCCCCTTCAGCCTGTCTGCATTTAATGGAGCTGGGATCATGGTAGGCAGCAGCAAATATCAATTTATTTAATTTATATCTAGTTTCCAATTTGCGATATTGTCTATTTTGGAAAAATCTATTGATTTCGCAAAATGTCATAAGATGTATGGAGGTTGGGCAGTGAGTATCTGATTGCCTATTTTTAGGACTCAACAAGTATAACCCACATAACCGTAGAACATACCAAGACTTTTATCAGAGTTTCTGTGGTACAAGCTAAATGAAGAGATTTTAGGGCAGTCTGGTGTAAATGGCATTGAGGAGGAGGTTGAAATCTATTGCCTAAGTTACATGCAAAAAAAGAAAGGGAAAAAATTCACAGCAAGATCATAGTAGGATTAAAGACAGGATAAATTATGTGGGAAGCATCCCAGGATCTGAGTATAAAAAGTGCTAAGTGAGATGGAGGAAAAATGTCATGGTTGGCAGAACAATGGCATTGAGATACGAATGAGCTCACACAGAGGTAGGTGTCTGGTTCTTATGATTTACAATCCAGCTTTTCCTCCAGTTCTTGTTAAGAACACCTAGATATTTTATTTTCTCAATAAATAAAATTAGAGACCTCACCCTTAGAGATTTAAATTCTGTAGAAATGGAGAATGGGTTTTGCTGCATCTGTTTAAGAGGAATTCAAATCAGATTGACAGGAAATGATTTTGGTCCCTCACCCATGCCTAAAACTCTACAGTAGAGCTGTAGTCCTTCATTCACACATCTGTTGGCCTCATTAATATTAAAATTTCTCAGGGATAGGCCACACTTAAGGAATTCCCAGTTATTGATACATTATGGAAATGAGTCACTGAGTTTCATCACTTGCTTTCCTAAGTGGTAGCTTCAATAATAACCATTACAAAAACAATAATAGATTTCCAGTCTATTGTCACTTATTCTTCATTCATTCATTGTTGTATGTGCCTTTTTTATGGATTAAAAAATATTGAGCAGTATCTCTTCTATCGCCAGTGTGGAAAGGAACCCAGTTGGTGAGAGATGGAGCATTCTAGTGAGTGGAGCCATGCAAATATTTGATAGATTGCCCAGAGGAATCACAGCTCTTTCCCAGAATCATATAGTGAATTGGATCCTATCCCAAGCAAGCTCCTCTTGCAAGCACAGTCTTGAAATAAATTATTAGAAAACTAGTTGAGACTTTCTTTTTATTAAAAAACACAACCATTTATTGAAAAAGAGTAATGCTTTATACAAATTCCCATTACAACCCTCCCACCCCCAAATAGCAATTGGTTTATTTCCAAGTATGGCAGCAGGGTATAAAAATATTAAACTGGATAAATTCTGGCATAAAATCCTATTGATCATTTTTTAATACAGATTTCTTTGTGGAGCTTGGCAATTGTTGTCCATATGCATTTACATTTGCACATAATTAGGATCTATGAATGTGGCAAAGACTCTTTGAATTATAACTTTTAGGAGCATAGACACACTAAAAGTTACTTGGTTCAAGCCCTCATAAGATACAGTCCTTTGTATAACTCTCTCCATGTAGTTTAACCCAAACCGTCCTAACAATATTAGCTATCATCTAACAGCACAGGCTCTGAAGGCTTCACTTCACAAATAGAACCTTATATCCCACATAACATAAAGTTCCAAAACTCTCCCATCCTATTGGCTTGTCAGCATTGAGATTTTTGCTTCCTCCATTACTTCTGCTTGGCCACAAAAGCATCAGTCCGCACTGACTGAAGAAACTAGGACTTCCTTGGAATCCTTTTTATTCAGTGAGTCGAATTTCACTTTAGTGTTTCATCATTTGAAAGGCAAGTATTTCTTGTCTCTTGTTAAGGCAAGATATCCATTTCTTAACATTTATCTCTTTTCAATTATCTGAGAAGTATCTCCCCAACCTATCACTTACATTCCTTAATTCTTTTCTAGGGCAGCACGTTTCAATTTACAAAACCACTTTTGCCTGTATCCTTTCTCACTGGATCCTAGATCCCTGTGATCTTGGCAGGTCAGGAATCACAAACCACTTTTTACAGATGATGCAATAAATCTAGGACAGCCAAGTGCCTTGCCCAAACTCAGATGATAATTGATAGCACCAAGATTCAAATCCAGATCTCCAAAAGTCAAAGCCAACGCCCTTTCCATTACATTATCTTGCTCAAGCAAAAAAGCTTTTACTATGTATTGAAAAAGTAAAAGCAATTGGTAAAATGGAGCTGAGCACCAACAATAGGCCAGGTGCAGCTGAAAGAAAGGAAATGGACATGTAGAAAAAGGAAGATACTGAAGAATGTGAAGACACATGTAAGTTTATTCAGTGGCTTCAAAACTGCCAATTGAGCAAAGAAAAACACTACTTAAGCTTATTTCATGTTCAAAGAATGAGAGTCATATCAACTAATTAATGCTCACATTACCTTTACCAGCTGGTTAAATGTAATTACCTCAATTTGACAGATGGGAAGAGGTAGAAAGATTAAGTGACTCGTTCACAACTACAGAGGGAATATTTGTCAACAGATTATCACTCCAGCAAGTCTAGCACTTTGTTCAGATAAATAAACCACACCTCTCTGGAAAGAGGTAAACTAAATGATAATTACGTATGAAAAAACAGTATAGCTGAGGAGGGAAGAAGAAAAAGGTAGTTTGTGGGATATGGAACTGTGAATAACTATCTTAAAAATTTTAATCAATAAAACTGTGTTACAACACCAGGGGGAGTGGCACAGCTACTCAATGAAACAAATATTTTCAGAGCAAACAAGAGTGCTAGAGGTCAAAGCACCAGGATCATGTGGGAGAGTTAACAAGAACATATCATCTGGTCATGCAGAAAGATTTTCCCCCACATCTGATTTATAAGACATTCTCATTGGTTTTAGGTTTTAAAATGTAGGCTATGAGATGTGTTATCAGATTCAAGAGTTGGAGAACAATCTTTACCAAAAGGGCCTGATTAAAAAAAAAAGAGCTGCTATAAGATTACAGTAAAAAATAAACTATAAGTATATGAGAAGGGCACACAGAAAGAATTCTTACTTGATAAAATAGTTTTAGTCTTATGGAAAAGATACTATAAGCTAATGAATGAAAGTAAATGATCTATATGATGTTACATATAGAGAGAGAGAAAAAAAGAAAAATGAGATGCCAGTAAGCTCCTTATTTAATCAAAATGGAATTATATATACTTTTCTATTTTAGAGACATTTTAATTATGCTGGTACCAACATAAGGAGAATAAGAGTTTTCCTGTCTACTTTTTATAGGAAAACACATACATACGTAGCTATACATACTTAAGAAGCACCCTCCCCCATTTTGAGTGATCCCTCAGAGGGAAGCAGCAAGACAAGTGGAAAAGGCTTCCCTCCTGTGCTGAGGAAAGAAGATAAAGTATGATTAAGGCATCCCTAGTATGGGTATTTATAAAAATATCATTTCTTTTGTAATACCTCAGTTTAGATTACAATGGTCAAAAGTCTAAGATCTTAATGTCAATGATGTATTCAATGTCCATTTTCTATTTGCTCCAAGATTGTCTCCTTCTGCTTCAGTCACACGTAATCTTTCCCACTAGAAGGTGTAGGTTTGGGATAAGGCCGTGGTGTTGGGTAAGAGGTTGTTTTTCGGGGACAGGAACAGCAAAGTAGGCCACCTCCCAAAAGGCAAAGAGAGGCAGCAGCCCAACCAGTGAAGAGAGCCTGGCCAAATTCATACCTAAAAGAGATGACAATGCATTGCCAGTCAGTGAGTCATTAGTATATTTTCTAACATACTTAAGGAAGGAAATCGATATCTTACATATTATGTTTCTTTCCATTGAAAATAACACCTCACGATCCCTTAGGCAGGTACTTTACGGTTCATGAACACATACACAGAAGAATGTTTACCTTGCAATTATTAACAATTTGCAGTAGTACATCAAGCAATGTGATGTGCAATACCATCTTAATTGCACAAATATTGCCAAAGACTTTTCCATGCAAAGGAAGCTTATAAAGCATGTTTCCATATTTTAGATATAAGGGTTGGTGGACCATAGTTTCATGGCTAAAACTTATCAAATCATGCTATTATCAAGTAGTAATCATACTATATAAGAAAAAACAGGTAGAGGGTGGTGAAGACTACCAGTCTTTCTGTTTTTTGATTTTTTTTTTTTGAGACAGAGTATCACTACATTAACCAAGGCTGGCACCAAGTTCTGAACCTCCTGCCTCTCAGCATCCTGAGTACTGGAATTGCAGGAGTGTGTCACCAATGCCAAGCTTAGAGTTTTGATAGTTGATCTCAGGCATCTTTATAAACTAATACCCCAAATTTATGTTTTATGAAAAAGACTTCTGGGCAGCCCATGGCACTTTCTGGATTGAGCTGATTCAGGTGGATGTATTACATCAGAGTTTGGGGGAATCTATAACAGATTGTGAACAGTAGAGAGAAAGGCTGGACTTAGAAGTTACAAGGCTTAATTTTGAAGCCTGATGCAAACTCAACTTCTGTAATTCTGGGATAGCAACTTACTTCTCACCCACAGTTTGCTCTCAAAGCAGTATAACCCCACCTGCTTCCCTAGACTACGTTCAGAATTGTGTGCACTCTTATAAATAGCAAGTGTACAGTCCCCAGAAATTAATAACCAGCTTTCACATATACTGCTGGCATTATTACTCTCGTTACATTTTGGCCCGTTGACCTCCAGCAGTTTCTGTCCTACCATCATAAATCTTATACAATGGGATGGGTTCTGACACGATGACTGCCGTCAGTGTTCTTCTGTACGTGGGTGATTATATAAAAAACACACACTTATCTCTGTAAACACTGAGATTTTCATCCATTCATACCAGTTCTTATAAACAATAATTACATCGTAACATCCGACTTTGAATGTAGTTATTAAGCTTTAAAGATGTGAGGACAGTGACACAATAAGCATTGTCCCTGATCAAAGAGAAACTGTTGCCTGAGAGCAAGAATTAGCTCTTTAACTTGCCCAACTTGCAGAATTAAGAAAAATGACCTTTGTAAAGTCAACTTTATAGTAGTGACAGAACATAAAGATTCAAAATTGTACGTTAATATACTAGAAAAAACACATCATGTTTTTACATGTTAAAATTAATTGTTGAGGATCAAGTGTTATTCATTAACTACTATGATAGTACTATCTTTTTCAATCAATCATATACTGCTCACAAATCATAAGTAATCGGAGTTAGCTGTTATAAACATAATACATTTCAGAAAGAAAATGTTAAATATATTACCATTTTTGTTAATATTTGAGAAAGAAGAAAAAAGCTGCAGCATATGCTTGGGAAGTATACAGCTTAGACCTTTTGTACTTTGAAGTACATTTTGTCATCCATATAGGCTGTTAAAGCAATTACCAAACTCATTTTAACATGAGTCACAGGTCATTTAAATTGCTTGAAAGTTTGACATAAAATTCCATACAATTCTTGAAAGCAAATCTGAGAAATTATGGTACTAGCAAGACTCTGCTGAACATAAAAAGGGTATTTTCTCAGAGAATAAACTACTTTATGCATGAATAGCATTACCTGGCATTGACGGGAGTCATGGGGTCATAGAATTCTTGAACAATTCTATTGCCATACCATGCTGTGGCAACTAAGATCGCCAGACCTACAGAAATCCAAAATAAAAGACTTAGTCACTATGGAACACTGAGCATAACCACATAGTCTATTAAACCTAAATGCATATAAAAATTAAATCTCATAAATAGCGCTAACATTTTAATTTTAGTATTATGAAAATAGATTTGATTTAGATATGATTGATTCCAAGTGTTCTGTAAAGATATACAAAAAGTTAAGTTGGCGTTTACACTATTTGTGACATCTTATTTATTAATAGTTAAAGGTCACTGACACAGATAATGGTTTTTAGAAACAGTTCTGCAGGTTTTATCTCATTCAAAATTACTGTAGAACTATAGTTTGGTGAATTACAATACTTCTGATATATCGGTTGTTCATATTAGCACAGAGTTGCTTACAGAAGATGAAAACCCTTTTACCTTCTTCCTGATCAAACTCAAAATTTATATTTTTTCTGGGTCAAAAGCAAAACAAGCAGTTAAATATCAGAGAGAATAGGTCCTGTGTCAGAATGGGCCAAAACTCCCAAATACTTCCTGCCCCACAGTGTAAGGAAATACCTTACACTGAGATTTGCTGAAATTGTCACATCAGATCAATTTATGTAACTAAGCACATTTTCCCATAGAATTTTGTATTTAGTAATAACCAGAGAAGTCACATATCTGATATTCCATCATTTATGATATATAAAATACCTTAGATTTTCTTATCCAAAGAGAAATTGATCAAAACAAAACCTTTCAATTAGAAAGGAGGAATGATTTTGAGAAATGTGTTATACAAAATAGTGACTAAAGTTCATAATATATTATTCTTGAAAAATACTAAAAATGCTTGTATTATCACAAAAATGATAATGATGTGAAGCAAAGCATTTATTGTTGATTTTAGCCATTCTAGAATGTATATACACTTCAAAATATCATGTGTAAATGACAGATACAAACTTGTCAATAAAAATAAATTAAAAAAATAAATTTCTTACAGTAATTCTAAGAATTCACCAATGCAGGGAGATTAATTTCTGTGTCATTACCTCTCTCTTCTAAAACAGTGGTCCAATATAATTATCTCTAATACTTCAGAGAAAACACGGTAATTTTGGTAGCTCAAATAGATCATGTGCATGTTCTTTTTTTTTATTCATATGTACATACAATGTTTGGGTCATTACTCCCCCTTCCCCCTGCTCCCATGTGCATGTTTTTGAACTTACAACCTGTACCCCTGAGGAAGTCCAAGAAACTGAAGTGAGAGTAACACAGTCAACATGGAGTTACTTGGAGATAAGCAAGGGAAGGGGACTGACTAAACAGTAAGTTTGTTCATAGTGTTTGATGTGAGTTAAATTGTTGTGAATAAAATATCATTCTTGCCTTTTCAGACATGAGTTAATTTGTTTTTGGACACAGTGAACAACTGGACAGCTTAAATGAACCCTATCATTAGTGAAGTCACAGATACTCTCCCTCCATTACTGGTTATGATGGAGAAAAAGCCCCTACAGGTTATCTGTCAATAAGAAAAATAAGAAGTCTAACTCTAGTTTTTCTGGTAGTAGATTTATATTGCCAACGTCTTTTTCAAAAATAATAGATTACTGTATATATCAGTACCTAATATATAGTCATCTACTGCTATATCTATATATTATATATCTACATATGGAGATATATAGTGTAATTATAATATCTATCAGATTTAAAATAAGTCTTATTTGACTTTGAAATGGTGTTGTCTATCTTTTAGTTTTCTTTTTCTCAAAAGACACTTAATCTAGTATGTTATCAACACTCAAATAAAGCAGAAAATACATTTTAACTTTTTAAGAGAAATACAACCTCACTGATCAAGATTTTGTCAAAAGTGTTTTATTGTTGTTTCTCTTCCTAACTCAGCTAATCTACCATACTACCATTTCAACATTCCACCTACACTCCAGCTGGCCTTTCTCTTCTCTGATCTGTGAGTACATCCTGTTTACTCTGGAATTAGACATGTCCAACAGGAATGCTGTCCTCATTTTTCTCCAATAACCCCAATCCCATACATCTTTCACAGACCTGTATGATTCACATGTAATTTGTATGTTCTTTCACTACACCCATCTTTTCCACATAGCATCTATGAAGACACCATTGACATTTTCTGAATGACATAAAATTGTTCCTGAGTGTTTGCTACATAGTAAACATCTTTCTTCACCTGGGGAGACTGGTTCTAATAAAAAAGTGGGCACCTGATACTCCCATAGATAGACTTGACATGTGAGCACACCTGTCAAAGTCTCATCTGGTTCCTGTTGAGAACACAAAAGTCAACTGACCAAAAGATCCATGTATACAGACTTTAAAAGAACAGAAATAATGTCAAATGCAATGAATCTAACATAACCTTAGGAAACTGAGAACTAGATCTGAACTCATACTAGGGAAAGGTTAGTAAGAGGAAACTGAAAGCCAGAACTCTTACCTGAAATAAGAAATATCACACCTCCAATGACGGCCATACGCATTTTCTGCACCTCATCATCTTCCATGCACTTCATACACTTCATGCCGATGGTAGACACAAAGATTGCTATCAGTCCCAGCAGGATGCCAACCACCATCAGGGCACGGGTTGCTTGCAAAGTGCCTGGTAGGAAACATTTTAGACCATATTAAAAACATGCCTAGAAAAGCAGTACAAGACCAAAGTATATTTCAATGCTGTATAGAAGAGAGAAAACAGAATTAGGAGTCAGGAGCCCTCAGACCTAGTGATATTTCTGCTGGTAGCCAACTTAACACTATCTCCAGAAAATCAAGCACCTAAGTTAGGTGATGGACAAGGGGCCCTCCAGTCGTAACATTTTGTATTTTCAAAATTAAACTCAAAATCAAATAGAAAAAAAAACTAATAGTTTAGTTAATAGGAGTGTTTCAATTCTAAAATAACTGTCACATATATAGTATAATATATATGTGATGGGAGAGAGAGAGAAAGAAAGAGAAAGAGATACCTATATCTTCAGAACTATTTACCAAGCCTTACAGTGAAATCATAAAGCTTCAGATAAAAACAAGTGAACATGGAACATAAACAAATTTTTCAGAGAGTATCATGACTCAATAAGCAACATTTGTGACTCCAAAGACTGGAGGGCTATAGGGCAGGATATAAAAGCTATTTGCTTAAAACAAAACAAAATAGTCTTTGAGAAATTAATTGGGACAGAGTAGTAGATTAATATTCAAATCACCACAAATTTTTAAAACCATTTGACTTATAATGCTGTAAACTGTCAGGCACACTAATCCAATCTAGTATTTCTCAGGTTTCTACTAATTTTCTATTTCCTGTTATTATCCTTTGTGTACTAAGTTATGATCAGACAGGATCTGGTTTGAGATATGCCAATGTGTGTCACAAAGCATAAAAGTTGAATAGCATGATTGTGGCATAAAGGCACATACTTGAAAAAAATTAAAAAGGAGATGAGACTACACTGGTTAGATTTTATCTAAATTATATATATATTTTCTCCTTCAATTGATGATCACTATCTCAGGGGCAAAATTAATATGTGACAAGTATTTTGCATCTATAAACACTGTATAGATTATTACAAACTATGGGATATTGGATAAGCTACTTAGTGTTCTTTGAGACCATGTTTCTGTTATAAAAATGTTAATGATGATATCTCTATCTAGGAGTTAGAACAATTGACTCTTTGCTGGTCTTCAAAAGTAGCTGAGATGATGCAAAGGTTTTGTATCCAGGCTCATTCTTCCTATCTTCAGAGTTAAGATGTTAGATTATCAAAATAAAACTATACTATTGCATCATTAAATTTTAATTTATTGGTATTTCTACCCTTGTCATCAACAAGCAATGATAAAAATCACACTGATATCTTTCTAAGAAGTATTAAAGGTATTTATATAGAATTTGAGTGATATTTTGGAAGCCAAAATATGAAACAGAGACATTCTTTGTCTCTCTTACATATCCATCTCCTCTTAAGTGAGCGCACATGCACACTCACCCACATATTCATTTGAAGATTACAGGAGGTTAGGGAAACGGCCAGATCAAAATACATGCTCTGTGGACCATAGGTTTACTAGGAACTGAAGCTGCTGACATGATTATTATAAAACTTTTCCCTTGGAATCACAAACCATATCGTGGTATGAAGAGGAAAGTCCCAAGAACTCCATAGTTAAGTTGTATACTTCCTTCTGACTTACCAGCAGGTATTTGCAAAAATAATCATTATTTACAAGGAAAATTGAAAATAAAATAATTAAATTCTAAATCGTAACACAGACCTCAGATTTGATCTTAATATTCCCCTAGTAGGAAAGTATTTTAAGGAGACGCTGAAAGTTACAAAGATGATGTGTGTACCTGGAGGGTAAGTTGGACACTCATGCCACTTTGCCTAAGACTGTCCTTGTTTTAATACTAAAGGTCAGGCATTCTGAGAAGAGCTTTGGTCTTGGGAAAACTGGGAGAACTGGTTGCCTTTAAGGAGAATGATAAGTTGTGGGAAGTGAAATAAGGTTTAGCAAGGTGGACAGAAGACACATATTCCTAAACCAGGCTGGGGGGTAGAGTCTATTGTAGGTGTAATCAGAAGTCACTGAAGTTCTTAAGGTAGGGGTGATATGATTTTTACTCTCAGTATAAAGATAATTAATTAGAAAATATTTCTTCTCTGGTAGCCCTTTAAATATGCATAGCCGCTTATATATCACAGCCACCTCTACTTTATTTTATCACAAACATTCAGTTTTCTAACACTCTTAATGACTTTTGCTGCTTTCTCTGATCTCTCTCCAAGTTTTCCACTGCGTTCCAGTTATGGAGCCCCAGACTTGACCTAGCTTATATAATAATCATTGTGATCTGCTCATCACATTAAAAAAGCAGGCCAGTAGCCCAGCAAGTCTGAGCACTTAGTACGGAGTATCCTTCACAAGTTCTCTAGGGTCATCAGTCTTGTGAGTCAGGCTTGAATAAACCTCTGATCTCCCAGGCAAGGAGCACACAGGTGCAAAACTACTCCAGGTTCTGTCTACACCTACCCAGAATGAGCTAATATTCACTATTTTAACCTCTAAATTTTCTTCTTTAAGTTAAACACATTTGTTTCATGTCATACCTATTTAGTACTTGTTTTGCAAAATTTTTCAGGAGGAGAGGACAGATATGCTATTCTATGCTTGCTAATAATGCTACTTTTGTTTAGTGTCCTTACAGAATAATATGTTATTTATCTAATAAAGAAGAAAATGGATGAAATCATACTAAGGAGTCACACAAACAATGGGACAAAAGGCTTATGTTCCACTTTTAAAAAATGTGATAAAGCAGTATAATAAGAAAGTGTTTTCGTAAAGCAACATTTGCCATTGACATACTGGCAGCCATTTTGGCTTCTGAAATTTCTTTGTATTTTACAATAATATATTGGCATCAAACACAAATCTCACCTTGCTTCACTGGAAAACATTGGATGAATTCCTAACTATAATGATACATGAAGAAAAGGAAAAACTAAGGCACATATGCACACAAAACAAACACAATAAAGCTGAGGATCATAATACTTGTGAAAATTTACTAGCTGGGCACATATAATGAAGGATTACAAGTCAAAGTAAGCAACTATTGTGCTACAAATTATGAGGGCTTTATGTACAGATCAAATCTAAATTGTACAGTTTTAAACTGGAGCCAGATGAATTCTTTCAAATTAAGGTCTTGTGGAAACCTCTTAAGTCAGAGATCTAATATATGTAATTGTGAATTACTGCATGACGTGAGTCAGATATTTATTTATATTTCCATCCAAAGCACTTAGTACCTGAGAAGTCACATAGATTAGTCAATCTGTATTCAATGAATTTAAAGGAGAATATTGTCTTTGTCCTTCAAAATGGTATTAATAACATATGGAAAAATTTATATTCTCTTTTGTTTCACTTAATCTTTAAAATACTACTAATAAATACCTCCTTAGAGAGCCTGGATTTTTCTTACATAAAGCCAGATTTAATTTAGGTTATTAAGAACTAGAAACTCTTGCAGTGAGGGAATTTTTACTTTTTGCTTCACTTGATTAATTTTTAAATTAGGTATTCAATGAGTACTCAAGATGAAGTTTCTTCCCTCCTCTCCCAGTAGTACGATATGGGCAGAACAGAGAAGTTGACAGAGATGTTTGAAAGCTGTAAAATAATGTTTGGACCACAGATACAGCTTTACACTCTTAACTTTGAACCGATCTAATTGGATCAAATATATTAACAAATGTATTCACTTCCTGGCAAATACATTTTTATATTATGATAAAATTAAGTTCTCTGTGGAGAATCATGTTAGCAAACATTTAAAAAGTTATACTATTGTTTCTCAGAATTATTCAGCAGTAAACAGAGAAGGCAGTCTTTTAATTAGACTTAGCCAGACTGATAATCTTGAGCTTAAAGGCCCCCTAAGGAGTTATCACCACTTTCAACCTGAAAGTATAATTAAAAAAATACTTACAAAGATCTCTACTTATAAGACAAGAAATGAGTTAGACAGTACTGATTTACTATAGTTATGTTGATCAACATACGTGTAGAAAGGCAAGCACAGACAAGTATGTGGCGTTTTTCTAAAGCTTTAAACATTGGCTACACAGGTAACAGGATCTCCTGCAGACACTTGACATTGTTTATGCTATTTACTAACCATATTACATAGTTTTACCCTATGTACTATAGATCATAAACAAAAAAGATTTCAGTTGTATCATTATACTCAAACAGTTCTTCTTTGCATCAGTCCTTGCTAATAAGTTTTAGATATATAAAAGGACAGCCCATGGGTGACTAGAACAAAAATTTGCTTTTTTTCTCCTGTAATTAAATGATCTCATCACAGACTGTCACAAAACTACACTTCTATGTATTCCTTACTTACTAAGTCTTTCACTTTTACTGATGTTCAAAGTTTCACAAGAGTCATTGTTTGCATTTCCATTTTATTGGTGCATGAGCTGTGACCTCAGAGCAAAAGCATAGTCTGTAATCAAAGTGGTCCAGGATGAGGAAGAACTTAACACCTTTCAGGAGGTCCTGAGAAATTTTGCTAACTCTTTTGGATTATGTCCTAAAGAAATGTTTTCTGATTACATATATGCCTCTGTATTACCTCCATGACACTTACGGCTCTAATCAAAGAAACCTAAAATATGCCACTTGCTTTTTCCCCTTCAGCCACTGAGGTAAGTAACAAAGAATGTTGTCATGAGGAGGAATCTTAGAAACAAGTGAGAATAGGGCCAGGCTCATGTTTGCTGCATTGAAGAATGAATCTTGGATTCATCTCTCTGTTCCTCCCACTCTCCCTATTTTTCATGTGGGGAAACTACCAGGGAGATCAAGTGACTCACAGCTACTTAGTGCAAGACCAAGGTAAGAATTGAGAACTTGTGATCTCAAGCCTGGAGTTTTGCTTTAACTTCTGTCATCCCAAGAATCAGAACTAATTCTCAAAATGTCTGAGAATACCAATGGCCCTTTGAATGGCCTCCATTTACCAGGCATAAAGCAGTCTGGAGAAGCATAAGCAGGTGCCCTTCTTTTTGCTTTTGCTTCAGAGACATCCAAGTCAGTGATTTTGTTCCTCTGATTGAGCCTGACATCATGGGGAGAGTGCTGAGAAACCTCACGACAACCAATACTCATTAAGCACACCTACACTCATGTGGATTCATGCAGAGCAAGTTTAACAGGCTAGAGTAGCTTATAAACAAATTACAGAATCCATGGGTTAGATGAGACTTAAAAAGAGTCTAGCCTAACCTCCCATTTGTCTGGTCCTTGGATCTTCCCAACAGCATTCCTACAAAATGCTTACTTATTCTCTGCTTGGATACCTCCCAACTTGCAGACTCTCAGGACAGCCCAGTCTTTGAGGAGCTCTAGCTATTAAAAAAGTCAAGCAAGAAGAAGCAATTTAACTAAGCTCATAACATAGGCAACTAACTTCCCCAAAATGCTAAGAATTGCATCAAAACAAGCAAGAACTATAAGTTAACCAAGAAAAGTCTCCTACAACTATATCTGGCACTCTCCTTTGTGTATTCCAACTTTCAGCTGTAAAGGTTATCAGTGTCGATAAATGTCACATGGGATTAAATGGAAATTGTCTCAGTCATTATAAAAACATAATCCACAGGGTAACATTTGTTTCCACAGGAAGTTTCTCACTTACATTTTCAGAAAATACTTGGCAATAACTACCTAAAATAAGTCTTACTGTATCCTACTGTATATTGCTTCTTATATTGCATGCAGTGTATTCTGTATATAGGTTAATCATACTGGATTCCTTTAGATACTTTGAGAAGGCATGTGTTTTCTATAACTGACACCAGATATAGCAGTGAAACAAGAGAGTTTAATGTCTGCATTCAAACATTAATAAATTCCTACACCTGGACACTACAGTGCTAAATGGGCTCTACTAGCAAAGACAGCAAGCTGCAATTTGAGGAAACCTACTGCCAAGCTTTTCATTTAAAAGCTTTTCATGAAACATAACCTTTTATGGGGCACACTATATATATACATATATACACACACAGATAATCCTTTTCATCTCTAGATGTCATAGAACTATACCAAAACCAACCAGTGAATCACCAACCCAGATCTCTTCATCAGGTGGGTGTGAGTACTACTGCTCAGGTGGAGAAACAGAGACAGGTTTCCTGGGATCCTTCCAAAGGCATGTAGTGAATCACTACCCCGTTGGGAGAGAGAACTTGTGAGTCAAGACTCCTTGTTCTGGGAATTGGTTTGGGGAGAAAGGTCTTAGCTCCATCTTGGATAAACTATGGTTTTAACAAAAACAGAAAGCAGAATCACTTCTTAATTAAACCAAACAGTCAATCAAGAAGTTTCCAAAATGTGTCAGCTTTCACCACAGTTTTAATAACTGTAATAACTGTATTTAATGGGAAATAAATTAAAATCCAACATTTTGACTCATTATCCTACGTAGATGATCTGATTGAGCGTTTATACCATGAATCAGTCTAATTCCATTTGGTCATTTAACAAAGTTAAGTATGTTGAAATGAACTATTTTGATTAGAGGAATAAGATTGACAATGAAGACCTCTCTGGAATTTCCCTTAGTAACTTCTTCACCTGCCAGCTCCACAATGTGATACTGAAAATGCCAGCACCATTTCCTTAAATATATTTGTCTTTCCATGAGGAAATTCAATGGTTATTTCCCAACTGTTTGCTTTAACGGTATAAATATATCCCAGGAGGGTAACAAGCCATACACAATTACTAAACTTACAGATTGAGTTTGATATGGAAACCTTGGAAAGCTAAAATGACACCCAATCCCACCATGAACACTGACCAACTTCAACAGTTGTTTAAGGTGTTAGAATTGATTTGGGATAGGTCTCATAATTCAAACTGTTTGGCTTTTGACATGGTCTGTGAAAAGTTGTTCCTATCAGGGAGTGGATAAAGCAAGTGAGGTAAGTGTGAGTGACAAGAAAGCTCACCCTCAGCAGCTCATGATGGGGACTGGGGCCAGTCTTGTTTATCTAGGCAAAGGTTAAGGGAACTTTCCTTCATGGTAGTTACAGGACACAACAGACACATGATACACAACAACTAGTACAATTTCTCAAGGAGATAATCCAGCCATGAATTAATATTACCTCAGGGGGAACTTAATGGTTTTTCTGAAAAGGTACTCAAAATCTTTTATTTGAAATAAAAGTGGGGTGAGGAAAACTACCTTTCATCCTTCTCCCCAGCATCCTTAGAAATATTTGTTTCTACGTAATCCTTACAACACGACAACTGAGAAGCAATCATTTATCATACAGAAATTCCTTTGTGAAGGTGAAAACGTGGAAAAGATCACCTCTTCTCCCTCTCTTGCAGCCCTCCTTCTCCAGGTGACCTCTGCTCATCAGCTGTGCCCATTTTGCTGTGTTTTCTTCCTATGCTTCTTCTCTTCCCCTCATGTTATGTTAGAGAAGTTACTTGAAACCTTTCTTTCTTATCATCCTCTTCCCAACTGCACCAACCTTCTGTTAGAAAAATAATACCATACAGTCTGCCTCTTCTGAAGCCCTTAGGCTTGAAAGGGAAACCTTTGGGAGAAACTATTTTATTTTTCAAGGAAAAAGAGTCAAAAGAAACAGTCCAACCTCAAATGTGTGTAGAAGATACTGAAATGGGACAAAACATGGGGATTGTGACTTTTCCTATTAAAAGTCATAGCAATGATTTAAAAAAAAAACTTACTGATTGGCTATTTCAGGATTATCTATTAAATATTTTATCCAGGGCGTATCATTTCCTTCCCCGAATCCTAAAGTTACACAGAAGCTTAGAATGTCCAGAAGAGCCCCAAGAATTCAAGTTCGAATTTGGCCTTTACTCTCCCAGTCTCTACCCACCCTCATAAGAATTTAAGGTGAAACCATACCTAGAGGAGCAGAAATGTGTCACCCAGAGAGTTAGAGGCAAAACTAAAGTTTAGGGCTGGGCTGCAGAGTGGTCTCCGCTTCCTCACAACAGAGCACATGACCAGAATTTAGTCAATTTAAGACTGGTAACCTTGTAATCACAGAACACAGTGGGGCTTCTAGGCACTCCACAACGGAGGGTGGGGGGCGGTGAGGGAGGTAGGGGATTTGGGCCTCTAGGTGGCGGCTCTGGGGCGTGGTATGCACTCACTGTTCAGATTCAGCAAGGAGTCAAAGACTTTGCACTGGATCTGGCCGGTGCTCTGTGACACGCAGGACATCCATAGCCCTTCGTAGATAGCCTGGGCGGTCACGATGTTGTCGTTGGCATAGGAGTAAATCTTCCACTGGGGCAGGGCAGTGCTGACGATGCTGCCGATCCAGCCCAGGAAGGCTAGGATGAAGCCCAACAGTTGCAGCCCCGCGTTGGCCATGGCTCGCTCAGCCGTTCGCGCTGGCTCAGGGGTAGCAGGTGCAGCTGGTGGAGAGTTGGCAGATGCGCGCACGGAACTCCCAGGGTGTTGGGCCGCGCCAAGCAAGTTTTTGCAGGAAACCCCGCTGCTGTGCTACAGCTGCTGAGGCTCCCGGGTCTGGGTCGGAGTTGGCGCTGCAATCCGGATGCCAGAAGTTGCCGCAGAGCCCACGCTGAGACTGAGACGCTGAACCGTGGGGCGCGGGGATTTAAAGCAGCTCCGCCCCCTTCCCCCGCCTCGCAGCGCCCCCTGGCGGTTTCAGGCCGTCTAGAACAGCTGGAGTCAGCTCAGGCCACCGCGCCCAGCGTGGGATCCTCTCGCTGGCGATGTGGGCACAACCAGAAGAGGACCAGGAGCCCAGCGGGCGTTCGTGCAGCAAACTTTCTTTACTCACGTTTAACTTTTCAGTGTCTTCTTAAAAGACATTGCTATTAACTCCGTCATCCTCCTTTGGTTCCCTCACACACATTTCCTTTCCTTCATCCACTTTCTTCCCCTATTTTCTGAGCTCTGTTCCCTTCTCTCCTTCAAGGCTATTCCATCAAGATTTCTGCAAGGGACCTCGGAGATTTCTACTCTTTGTAGATGAGGACACTGAGACCCGGATAAGAAACCTGGTTTCCATAAAATCACACAGCAGGTTAGTAGCATTCCTACTACTTGGCTACCAGACCACTCTGTTTCCTACCATAGCTTGAATTAAAAGAAACGTATGTCCTTTGATCTATCATCGTCCTTTTGAAACTGCAGCCTACTATCCTTGACCCCCAACGCAGACATCCACCAATCTCTGCCTGGAAGTAGTTTGTCTGAGGGACCTGGCCAGTGCTTTCCCTCTTAAGGAATTTCATGAGTGGACTATCATCAGAGTTCGGCATCCAGTCTTTCCCCAGGAGACAGAGGATTTGGAAATTCTGGGCTTTGGCTCTGGCAATTGCAGTTAGTACCTATGCCACCCCCTCAGGTTTTGGTCTACCTGAGCCTTTCCTTTCCCTTCCTTCTATGGGAGTCTAAAGCTTTCTTCTTTGTAGTCATTCAGAAGCCATGTTGTGGCTAGGAATAATTGAAATGTTTTCCCAGCTGTTCTTTGTGTGTGGTGTAAGTGTGGTGGGAGAATATCTATGGCCTTAGTAAAAGCAGAAGAAACTTGAAGGCAGAAGTAAACACCTGAGTGTTTACTTGGGATGTCTATATATATATATAGAACATGTTATGTATATATATATATATATATATATATATATAGAGAGAGAGAGAGAGAGAGAGAGAGAGGGAGCTGCAGATTATGATAAGGAAGAAATGGTCAAAATGTTCAGCGTGAGAATAAGAGGAATGAGCTCCCCCACCCCCACCCCACCTGGCTGTTTCTAGACACCTTTTGTCAATGCTTAAAGCTAAAAAATTGGTCTATACAGGCAGTAGGGAAGCAGCAATGAGGAGGGTGACACAGGAGCTGGATGAAGACGTTTAATCTGGAGTAAGCAAGATTAAAACAGTAAGTGTAGTCTTTCTACCAGCACTCCCAAGGCCTCCAAAAGGATCTAGGTAGTATCTATAGGGCAAGTCTGCATCCATGTTGTTCCTCCAGCTTCTGAGCCTGCAGTTAGTATTACTCTCTAGATTCAGATGAATATTCTCCACGTGCCTGTCAGTGTGGCTGAAGGGCTTTCAACCACATTGGATTCATTTGTTCCTCAGATCAGAGGAGGTATTCTAAAGTGGCTGAAGGACTGTACCAGCACAGAGTGAACCATATAATATCATTCATTTCTGTTCCAATCTTTTCAGAATTAAAACCATTTAAAAAGACAATATTTGGATTTAATAGTTAAGTGCAAGCCATTTTAATCTGCAATAGGACCTGTTTCTATCAGCCTACAGTTGGCAAGGAATTGGAGGCATTAATTCTGTGGTCAGCAGGGCCCTGTGTTTTTGTTTTTTATGACATATCTGTGTGAGGCTGATGACTTCATTGCCACAGCCGTGGTTGTGAGGCTTAGGTAAATCCTGTTTGCTCCACTGTGCTCCATGCCCATCTCTGGCATCCTAATCATGTCTACTTTTCTGCTCTCAGACTCAGAACAGCCATAGGGGGATAATAACTCAGCATAAATCCATTAACTCAAAAGAGAAAAACAACTTATGAAAACTAGCCTTTCATATATGAAGCATAAACAATAAAGGCAATAGTGTGACCCAGATGATTCTACAAAGGCCAGCAATAGTATGCTAAACTCCCTGGTATACTGAGTAGGAAAACCTGTTATGTACCTTCAAATAAATTACTTCTTTTCTCTGCTTCAGTTTCCATACCAATATTAAAATTAAGGATTGACTTCTAAAAATTTGCCCAATTCTAAAGATGACACTTGTTAGTAATATATTCTTACCAGGTGTTATTATGTCTGTGAAAGGAACAGAGACACAGAAATCAGGTCAGTTACACAGTGTCATACTTGGGAAACGGCAATGCTGGCATTCCAGGGTACACAGTTTGACTCTGGAGCCCATGCCTTGGACCACTATCCCACAGTATTTCTCTGGATAAGTCAAATCAATTGAGCTCAATTTACTTTTTTGGATATGCTTAGAATTTTTATCATCTGTTTCTAGTTCCAGAGAGCAGTGAGATGTTCCATTATGTGACTGTCCCTTCTCAATCTCTGTTGCACCCACAGAGAATCTATATCCCCAGGATCCTGAATCATGTGGTAGAAAGGTGTTGCTGTCATGCACGAGGGAGGTATGCATGACAACAGCAAGGAACCACTGGTTACTCCATGTGCATATGTGACTGATGCTTGGACTGAGCCCGAGAACCAGTGATAAGTAGAAGAAATGTAACTGAAAGTGAGACCAAGCTGGGAAGGGAATGTAGACAATGATGGTCCCAAGGGGCTGTATGTCAGATTCTCTGAAATGGCTGAAGATGAGAGTAAGGAAGATTTGGGGATGTAAAACTTTCACTGAGCGATAATGCACATTCATGCTAATTTTTCATGACCTCTCAGGGAGTAAAGGCAGAATGGTTGGACACACTATTGAGTAAACAATATGCTGTGTAACTGCTTAGGGCTTAAGAGAACAATCATAAGTCAAACGTGAAAATTTAACATAAATTTCAGTATTAGAATATACGGGATACTAATACTAAAAACCATTCGTGCAGGCCTACAACTTCTAAAACAGCCTTGAAACTTCTTGGAGAGGGAGAGGGAGAGTTTAAAAATTGACTCATGTTATTATGGGAGATGCCAAGCTAAGCCAGAAATTTGTAGAGTGTCCCTCTGAATCACAGTTGGTCTTGTAGTCTAGAGGAGAATTTCTCCTGTTTTGAGAAAATACAGTATTTCTCTGATTGGTGAAGCCTACCAAATTATGGAGACTGATCTGTCTTGCTCAAAGTCTAATTTAAATCTTAATCATTTCTAAATATACCTTAGCCTGAGCAATAGAAAACATAAAATTAATCATCACATTAAGATTTACTGACCATTTAGGTTCTGAGACTTTTACTTGTATGAACTCACTTGACACTCAAAAAAAGTCAATGAATTATGTAGCTATTACTAAAGATAAGGAAATTCAGGTCCAGGTAAGTAAAGTACATTATGCCAAGTTATACAGCTGGTAAAGGGCAGAGCTGGCATCCAAACTCCATCAATTTGTCTTTCAAGCCAGATGGCTTATTCAACACAATTTACACCTGAAGCAACTGTTTATTTTCTCCCTCCCTTGTGAGTACACAATGGTACACAAAAACTGAGTCCTTACCAAGTCCAAATCAGAGTCATATCAGAGTGAATAGCAAGTACCAAGTATTGGGAAACTAAGTGAATGAATCAACAGATGGATGGACCCATAGACAAAGAATCCCAAGTCTTTATTATGAGGAATCTAGGTACTGAAAACACAATAGTGATTAACAACAACAACAAAAAAAAACCAAACAACTTTGACTTTCAACAAGATCCTGGATTTTGTGGGTCAAAAATAAAAAGTAACAATGTATCTGATAAAGATGATTTTTTAATACTTTGGTCTTTGAGATAGGACAGAATCTAGAATATGAGACTGCTTTCTCCCTGCATTAGATATGATGTTAGACAAGTTAAACATTCTGTGCCTATTTTTCTGCCTTAAAAATAAACTAAATATGTAATTCATAGTGTCTTTTAATAAGTAAATAAAATCGATTGAGGTAATGTATACACAACTGAGCCCTCTACATGGGACATGCAAAGTGTTTAATTGCTGATGACTGTGTGTGCTATGAAAACCTGGGTAAGTGTCTCACTTCCATAGAATTCAGGGTGGCAGGAAGGCAGCAACTTGATCATGCTGAATGAAATATTTAAACTAAACTATCAGCTACATGAGAGGAAGAAATTTCTAGGCAAAGGAACAAATTCATATCTAAATATAGAGCAGAGTTACAAATTAGCAAGTTGCATCTCAAATTTGACCTGGATATGCACATTGTTTGAAGATTTTTCTAACAAATCTAGATTCTGGCTTGTCTACAATAATCCAAAAAGATGACAGCTCTAGCTGTGCTCTCTGCTTTCCTATTTCTCAATAGTGAGCACCATTTCATTGATGTTACTGTAAGTATCTAGCGCCAATGTAGGTCCAGGCAGTGGATGACATACATACTGGTTTTGTCATGCAGTAGCTGATGAGGAGTGATTATGTAATTTCAAGAAGGAACTTGAGCAGATTTTTGTTTTATAAAGATTTTCCTAGGGATCAGGAGATGGAGATAGAAGTTGGTTTTCTGAAGAACATATGGGAATAGTGTAGGAAGTGTTGGTGAGTGGGATTTGAGCAATGTCAAAGGCAGGGGCATTGGAGATGGAGAGAAAAGTATACCAGCCAGAGATGGAGGGAGGTAAGTTGTTCATGCCTTCATGTGACTTTATTCTGAGCCAAGAGCGATATTTTCAAAAATGATGAGTGATTTTATCCACTAGCTCAGGAAAGGGGAATTATGTGTGTCCATAAAGGAGCGCATTGGATGATTCCATCTTTCAGTTTTAATATTTTGGAGATACTGGGTGCTGGTTGCTCACTCCTGTAATCCTAACTATTCAGAAGGTAGAGATCAGGAGCGTTTCGGTTTGAAGCCAACCCTGAACAAAAAGTTTGAAACACCCTATCTCGAAAAAAAAAAATCACAAAAACGGGGTGGGGGGATGTTAGTGGCTCAGGCAGTAAGAGTACCTGCCTGTGGTTCTGAGTCCAAACCCCAGTACCACATAATAATAACAATAAGTTGGAGATGGAGGAGATGATGGAGCTTTTAGATATACACAATATGTCAGTCTCTACTATGGCTCCCTCCTAAAGGACTTGCAAGGGGAAATGTAT